TGTATAAAAGATACCCCAATCCTAGATACCCCCATCCTAGGAATGGGGTATCCTATGGAGGCCTAGAGAACCGAATTCAAAGATACCAGAAAAAAAGGGGATCGGGATGATGATGCCTTTAACAATTTGAAAGCATTCCACTAACCGTTTAAAGCATTTAAAGCATTCCACTAACCACCAATCGATGATAAGGCCGGCGTTGGTGTAACATTTCAAGACCAAATAGTTGCAATCAATCAAAAGTTTAGCAATTTCATTTCTAACTCGAAAACTCTGGCTTAAATCCAACAATTCCCAATATTTGCAATATAAAACTAAAGCTTCTAGTAAATCTCTAATGGAGGTTTTTGATTTTTAATATAATCTCAAAGTTTTATAAGCTTTTGAGTAATCAAGTTTTGTTGAAAGATGAATCAAATAAAGTTTTTGATTGTTTAATTCATCAAAAAAACTTCATTTTAGTCAAAAATTACTCCAAAATCGTTTATTTAACACAATTTTTATATAAAAATGATTAAAATGACGATTAGAATGATCAACTTTTAAAGAGCCAAAGAAAAATCAACTTCGAAAATGCATTAATCTTTTCCATTGAACTATTGAAGTCGAAAAAAAAGGAATTGGGAAGACAAAGGTTGAGGGAATCGGATCCGATTACAAAACAGACCTTTGGGTCTCTTCCTCAGACAATTTCTTTTCAAATATTTCCCCCCCACAAACTCTTTTCTTGTCCCTTGAAGGCTGAAATGGCCGAACTCTCAGTCACGCCTCTCTCTCCATTTTCCGATTGACATCAAAATCTGTTTCTCTTGCTTTGAAAAAAATTTTCTCACGCAGCTTTTCCGATTTGAAACATCATTGTGAAAAAGTTCTCTAGAAGTTGAACAATATTTTTTCAATTTTTCTAAAATCGCTGAATTTTATTGTCTAGTTGTTTATTGTGAGTTCCAGAAAGCTCAAAAAATTTCAAATTTTCTGTTTTCTCTTAATTTTAACTCTTAATGATCAATGTGCTTTCCAGAACACTTAGAATTTTCCTCAGAAGTTCTTTCTCTTAATTTTACCTCTTAACAATCAGTGTGCTTTCCAGAACGCTCAGAATTTCCCTCAGAAGTCTGTTTTCTCTTATTTTTACCGCTTAACGATCAGTGTGCGTTCCAGAACACTCAAAATTTCCCTCAGAAGTACTGTTTTCTCGTAATTTTAACTCTAAACGATCAGTGTGCTTTCCAGAACGCTCAGAATTTCCCTCAGAAGTCTGTTTTCTCTTATTTTTAACTCTTAACGATCAGTGTGCTTTCCAGAACACTCAGAATTTCCCTCAGAAGTCTGTTTTCTCTTATTTTTAACTCTTAACGATCAGTGTGCTTTCCAGAACACTCAGAATTTCCCTCAGAAGTTCTCTCTCTTAATTTTAACTCTTAACGATCAGTGTGCCTTCCAGAACACTCAGAATTTCTCTTTTCATACTCACAACCTTATTGAATACTCAGATAAAGACTAGTTCTTATAAATTTACATAATTTCAACTGAAATGCAGCTTTTCTTCTGGAATTTCTAATAATAAAGAGGACTCTGCTGGGAGTAATTTCGAGTAACGGCGGGAAATCGGCTGAAAAAAAAGGCTCATCGATTTGCGACAACCAGAAAAGAAAAACTGGTTTCCCACATTTGAAAAATTCGAAAACTTTTCAATATCGAATATTTTTGAGAAAAATTGATCGGTTTTATGTAAATTTCCTCAAAAACCGTCAAATATTCAAATTTAAAAATAATTTTCAATGTGAATTTGCCTTTTTAAATGTAACTTTACAACACACTTATATGCACGTACAGTCGAACCTCTCTATAACGTAACTCACGGGACGGCTATAGCTTACGTTATATAGAGGTTTACGTTATATAGAGTGCCGTTTTATATAGCTTAACGTCGGCCGGGACCGGTCACGGCTTACGTTATAGAGAGGTTCGTTATAGAGAGGTTCGACTGTACTTTGAAATCAGAATCAGTATCAAATCGTTTCTTGGCTTTCTGAATTAGGATGATACCACAAAATCGTGAAATGAAACCATGTGAAATGCTTGCAAATCGGCAATCGGGGGAGTTACTTCAAGATAATTTGGAAACATTTCAATTTGACACGACTTTCACTGTAAATTTGACTTTTTAAATGCAATTGAAAGGAAATTTTGTAAACTCAAACCACTACCAAATCCCCGAAAACATCCAAAAATAGAGCGACTTTCTTTATTCCTTTCACACTTCCTTTTTCTTTTCATTCTATTTTTCGGCGCTCTTTTTTTCAGCTTTTGTTTGAGAGCAAATGAAAATAAACAAATGATTTGAAGGAAAAAAAAGTGAAAGTGAAAGAAAGATTTGTGAAAAAAAGAAAGAAAAAACTTTGATCCTGGAACACAGTCTACCCATTTTTCAATCTAATCAAATTTGTCGACTCATTTTCGCATTTTCTCACATTCATCTCAATCACAAGTATCTGGGTGGGTGGAAAAAAGAAAAAAAGAAAAGAAAACCCCATCCTTCTTGTAAGTGCTTACTTTCGTGCATTCCAGCATTCACGAATCACTCAGTGTTATGCTCATTCTATCTACTGAAACCTTTTTTAAGCCTCCGTAACATTTCATCAGTGTAGTGTCTAGAGTTTCCAAGGCACTTCGATCCAATCACTGTTTTAATAGTCAAATTGGTGCTCACAAGTCACATTCAAGCATAAATTTGATGAATTAAAATGAAATAGAATTTTTGATTTTATAGTTGGCTACAAAAGCCGAAAAAAATCGTATAATCAAGTTTTTTGAATTTTCTGGAATTCATTGATAAACTTGGCTTAGGCTAATCTAGACAGGAACCTTTTTTTCCAAACTTTCTCCAACTCATTCATCACCTTTTTCTTTCTCGACTCGAATGACTGACCTCTGATTGCTCTCCAGGGATCATTGTGGTTACATTTTGTGAAACCAACTGAATGGGCTTTTTTTTCTCATAAAAATCTAATCGGTGTGTGATGCATTACACTGAGAAGTTAAATGGAAAGACTCTTGTGTTTCGATGAGAAATGAGACGGCTGTTTTGATCGGGTTTCTATCTTTTTCTCTTGAAATCTCTTTCTTTCATCATTCACTTTTTTTTTCCGGAATTTCCTCGACTTTTAGCTATTCTGTTTTTAATATTGATTTAAGCTTTTTCATTTTGATTGATTTAAGTGAGACCAACATAAATTTAGCAATCAATCAATCAATCAAATCCAATTCCATTTCGTTTCCCTCACCTGTCTTGTTGAGCAAAGATATACCAAGAAATCCCACGGTGTCTCCAAGCTGTTAATGTAGGAATTTGGACCACCGTAACTGAAAACCAAATTTGAATCCTATCATTTCTACCCGTCAACTCACACATCCAACAAAACAGGATACGTTTCAGTTGGATCGAACTTTGGCGGTCGCATGATTCCCACGTGAGCTTCTGAAATCAATTTCATATTTCAATACCATTTTTCACACTCACCAATCATTGAGACCAACATAACTTTCTCGAAAGTGATAATCGGCTCATCAAAAGCTAAACGAGGTGCCTCGAAGCCTCTGAGCTGATGAACTAAACTCTTTTCTATCATTTTTCCAACTTCTGGATGTCACTAGAAACTTTAAAATCAAAATTTTCCACTTAACTTCTCGAAATTCCTTTACTGTACAACTTACACTCGTTATTATTGGCTTTATTCATGAGGTAAAGCCGCCCATTGACAACGTTTTTTAAAATGTTGATAATTTCTACATTCATTACTTCAAGAAGTACACTCAGAATATTATCAAAACAGAACAGAAAAAGCGCTTGTTCTTTAACCAAATTTCGGACTAACAAGCGCTGTTTTTTAACCGCATTTCGGACTAACTTTGGCTAGTTTTGGTTAGCTTACAAGAAATTCCGGTCTTTACCTGGTTTAGCCTTGCCTACCTTCACTACAGGGCTAATTGAGCCTTGAAAAAGCGGGTGAATGAGCTAGAAATTGAGCCAGAACATTACTCACTTACATTTTGGAATACTTTGATACAAAAATACTTAAAATTGTCTTATTTAGCTTTCCATTCAATATCTCTAAATGATTTTTCCACAAAAAAACCATTATAGACAGTACTGGACAATGAAATTTGTATTTGAAATGATATTTGAAATGATATTTGAAAAAAAGATCGTCACTTTCGCGCGTCTGTAACTCCATTGTCTTTGAGTTTAAACTATTAGTGTTATACCATTTCTGAAAGCTCTTTTCAACGGCTACACAATGGTAATATTAATATTTAGAAATACGGTAAAGACAAGGGAGTTATAGAGGTTACAGACATTTACCTTCACTACAGGAGTTATAGAGGTTACAGACGTTTACCTTCACTAGAGGAGTTACAAGAAGTTACAGATGTTTACCTTCACTACAGGAGTTACAAGACAAGGGAGTTACAGACGAGACGATCTTTGAGTGACGATCGTTTTTCAAATATCATATTTCATTGTCCAGTACTTTGTGTTCTATTTTATAAAGTATTTCCAGAGCTACCGGATATTTGCAAGTGTCGATTAGCCCATCTGTATTCGGTGTCGACAAACTTGTTTGAAGAAGGGGAAATTGAAGGAGTGACCCCAGAAAAGGAAAAGAGAGAAGAGGGGGAAAGGGATACCTCGAGAACAGAGCAACACAACACGTATTACCTGGAAGAGAAAGCGAAAGAGAGATCATCGCTCGTCTCGTTCGCACACAACAAACAACGAACAAAAGTGAGTGGTTGAGGAAAAGTGGAATTGAGAATTGGACACTATGGATATCACTGGACAACTTTTGCTAGACTATTAGTTAAATTCTTGAGTTTTCAATGATCTTGCAATAGATTATGGATGTCACTAGGCAATTTTCATTGATCAAATCTCATTTTAGAGCCAATCCTTTTCTTCAGCTCTGATTTGTATGATGTGATCGAGTGAAACGCATATGGCCGAGAAAAATGTGAGTCCTGAAAGGTATCCAATCAATTCGAATTTTCAGCAATGGACATGTTGCGCTTGGAGAGCGATCCTTGTCTCCGCTTTTGCTTTAGGCGTTCTTGTTTGCATCGCGATCTCCGTTGTTTTGCTGTTAACACAGAAACGTTAGTGAAAACAAAAGTTTAACCAAAACAACCAAATTCCAGCGGTAAACTTGGGCGAAGTCGGTGATGCGGCCGCGTGGGACACAGGGAATGTGTCGATTCGACGGAAACCTGCTCATTATCGGTTCTTTAGGTCTTGTGACATCCAGAATAAAACTTTAGACCCTTCACATTCGAGGATTTGCTCTCAAATAAGCAACACGTTCGATCAATGTATTCAGTGAAGTGGTTGGCAGATGATAGTTTGATCATCGCAGCCGAGCCAACGATTCCATTAGAAGAGGTGACATCCAGATAGTCTGAAAATAAATAAGAAAAGCTCAGGATGGTGCCTCGTTGAATATAATTCGATCGAACAATTTCTCGGAGGAGTTGTGGGTGCCCGACTCTGAGTTTATCGCTGGTTTTACAGGTTTTTGATTCAATTTTTTGATTGGGAAGGTAATTTCAACAATTTTAAGGTGATTTATCAGGTGAACGCGTGAAATTCTCTCCATCAGGCAAATATGTAGCGTTGAGCAAGTTGCTTTCTCACGTAAGTATTGAAAAAGTGACTTAGATGACTTCTTAAAGCACTAACTTTTATAAAAACTATAATTCTAGTACAGTAATCTTCTAGATTCATTACAGTAATTCAAAATTTTTTTTTAATTTTTCAGGGTTTTCGTCATTCTGAAGATTCTCTCTACCAAATCGCTAAAATCAGTGATGGAAAATTATCGTAATTTGGCTTTAATTATTGTAAATTTGAGTATATTCTAGGAAATATACATTTGTTGGTCCAAAAGGAACAGGTCTCGAAGCAATCTCGAGTTTTCGATGGAATCCGAATCCAGAAAAACACGATTTTGTAAGTTTATTAACTGTTTTAGAAAGAATTGTCAAATCGAAACTTTCGAAAATCAAAACAAAAGCGAAAACTTTCGATTAATCCATCAGATCAGCCTCAAACCATTCTAGAATCTATCTTTCCTTTCAGATTTTTGTCTCCGATTTTAACGTCTACTACCAGAGTGACCCTGGAGCACCAGGATCGGCGATCGCTTTGTCTGAGAATGGAAAATCTTTCTATCGATATGGTCTTGCCGATTGGCTGTATGAGGGTACGGTGATATCCAGAAAGTCCAATACTTTAACTGATTTTGTCACTTATTGCTTAAAATCAGCGAAAACCCTTCTAAAACCCGAGCGTGTAATCCAGATCACCCAAAAACATGTTCAAAGCTCGTAAAAACCTTTCCAAATTCCGTGCTGACATCCATATTGTCAAAAACTCATCAAAAAATTCAGAAGAGATCTCTCCAAGTGCGACATTTTGGTCGGATCGGGGTGAGATGATTGCTTACATTCGTTATGATGATCAATTCGTTCACAAAGTTTACGTTCCCAAATATTTCAACACTCGACAATACACAGAGTGAGTTAAAGAATGATTAATAAAAGGTAAAAGAGAGATCTAAAAATTTAGTTATTTGGAAGTGCCGTATCCAAAAGCTGGTGTACAGAATCAACCTGAAGTCACCTTATTTTTATGGAATGTTAAAGAAAACAAAAAAGTCGTTATTTCACCGCCCGATGAGCTGATGGCGAGGAATTTGTGAGTGTTTAGGGTTTTGTAAATGAAATTCAAGATTTCTTTAGATCTTATTACATTTTCTCAAACAATTTCATTACGGTGGCAATGAATGGGACAAGAGAAGAGAAATTGTTGACTGTTTGGTCGGATAGAGAGCAAATGAATATTTATATGACACTTTGCGATGTCGAGGATTGTGTTTTGGTCAGTGCTATGGCTTTAAGGAACAGAGAGCATTGAACAGAGAGCATTCAAGCAAAAGCATTGAAGCACAGGGGGCAAAAGCATTGAAGAAACAAAGCTTTTTAAATTCTTCTTTTGATTTGATTGGAAAACTTTAACTTGAAAAGTCTTCTCCTTGAAATTTCAATCTTACCATCAACGTTATTCGTCCGAAATCCTTGATCTTGACTTGATTTTGCTCTTTTCCAAAACTCTGGCAACCCTTTTACCCAATCACAATCTTTACCAATCCACTTATACCAAAAAACTTCTTTAATCATTTCCAGACTTACTCTCAAAACTACGAGATTCACGATCGACAACTTTGGAGTGAACCTGAAGATTTCCAAGTAGATTCATTTCTCTAACTGAAAATCGGAAATTTTCTAGAAAATCATCGCCTCCCCAAGTGGCTTCTTTGTAGTTTTGCCCCATCAATACACTGATGGCAATATCTATCAACATATCGCACACATTCGCGTACAGGTCAGAAAACTAGCTTTGATTTCATTAGACAGAGTGCACTCTGTCCAATGAAATCAAGCTAGTTTTAATGAAATCAAGTTAATTCTAATGCAATCAAGCTAGTTCTAATGAAATCAAGCTAGTTCTAATGCAATCAAGCTAGTTTTAATGAAATCAAGCTAATTCTAATGCAATCAAGCTAGTTCTAATCAAAACAGAATTGTCGCAACAAGATAAAGTTCTGAAAGGCAGATAAGAGGAAAAAAGAAAAATGAAAATGAAATATCAAATTCTAATCGATCGCCATTAGCATTTGAGAAGGCTCGCAGGCGTTTTGGGAAGGCGTCAATGGTGATCAAAAAGACTGTATCGAGCTCTTCCCACGCTTTCAACAGTGATTTCTTCAAGCTTTTGATGTTTTTGTGGCGTTTTGAACAAGCTTTGGCTACAGAACCGACCACACTGAAGAATCCATTGAGTTGAGGTCTGGATAGCTAGGCCATTCAGAAAAAGAAAAGAAGTCCGGGAAATCGTTTTGACAGAACTCTTGGACTTTCTTGGATTTGTGAGCCGGTGCATCATCTTGCTAATAAGTCCAAATGCTATTTCCAAAATGTTTACGAGCCTAGAGCAAGAGTTCATCCTTGAGAAGAGTCAAGTTTTCGGTCAAGTACTTTGGGCAACCAATATGAGTAGAGTCTTTCCTGTCGCAGTAATGCAGCCATCTTCGAGACTCCGAGAAACCAATTCAGTTCAGATCTGGCCTATACTCAAGGATTTTGCTTGTAAAGTTTGTAAAGAAGGCCTTTAACACTAAATATCTTTTATCTGTGAACAAGATATTGTGATGATCGATTCCATTGACTCAATAATTGATCTACTCTCAATTCTCGCTTGTTTTAGCGGCATTCGAAAGAAGTTGAGTAAGTTTGAGTTTATTTTTGAGGATCCGAAGCAATGAAGTGCTTGAAATCATCATCTTCTTTGTCATTTGCCTTGCTCTTCCGAGTTCGGTCCCCCACTCGCTTGATGTTTGTCTTTGTGACAACAGTTAGGCGTCTACCGCTTCTTCGTGCATCAGCAGTTGTTCTCGTAGCTTTGTAGCATTGTATAGTGTAGAAAATGACACTTCGGTTGACTTTAAGATGCTTATGAATCCTCGTTTGGTAGCTGAGACTCCTCCTTTGTGGCTGAGACTCCTCGTTTGTGGCTGAGACTCCTCGTTTGTGGCTGAGACTCCTCGTTTGTGGCTGAGACTCCTCGTTTGTGGCTGAGACTCCTCGTTTGTGGCCGAGACTCCTCGTTTGGTAGCTGAGACTCCTCCTTTGTGGCTGAGACTCCTCGTTTGTGGCTGAGACTCCTCGTTTGTGGCTGAGACTCCTCGTTTGTGGCTGAGACTCCTCGTTTGTGGCTGAGACTCCTCGTTTGTGGCTGAGACTCCTCGTTTGTGGCCGAGACTCCTCGTTTGGTAGCTGAGACTCCTCCTTTGTGGCTGAGACTCCTCGTTTGTGGCTGAGACTCCTCGTTTGTGGCTGAGACTCCTCGTTTGTGGCTGAGACCCCCTCGTTTGTGGCTGAGGCTCCTCGTTGTGGCTGGGACTCCTCTTTGTGGCCGAGACTCCTCGTTTGTGGCTGAGACTCCTCGTTTGTGGCTGAGACTCCTCGTTTGTGGCTGAGACTCCTCGTTTGTGGCCGAGACTCCTCGTTTGGTAGCTGAGACTCCTCCTTTGTGGCTGAGACTCCTCGTTTGTGGCTGAGACTCCTCGTTTTGTGGCTGAGACTCCTCGTTTGTGGCTGAGACTCCTCGTTTGTGGCTGAGACTCCTTGTTTGTGCAATTCGATGATCGATTGTCAATGGGGTTTCTTCAGCTATTCTAAAAAAAATAACACATTTTATATAAAAATTTTTCAATTATATTCCAAATATAATAAAAAGACCAAAAGAAAAACTAGAAATGAAGCTTAAATCAAGGAGTTATTTTCCTTGGACGTGGTGCCTTGCTGCGACAATTATGATGCCCTGTATATAGCTAATTCTATAGATATGGCTGAATTTCAGGACGATGGCTCAGGACGAATGACGACTTTTCACGGTGGGACATATGATGTGATCAAGCTACACGGATATGATCAAGAAAAGGACACTTTGTAAGTGAAATCAATAGAATGAGTTCCAGATTGAAGAAATAACTCGAAAAGAAATATAGATTTTACGAGTCATCTGGTGGTGGGATCGCTTTCAAGCGATTGTTCCGAGTTCGAAGTGCTAGCACGAGATTGGCTCAGGTAGGGAGGGGAAATTATTTAAAAAGAGCTAATCCTGGATGTCATGAGAAAAGATTTTCAAAGAATTATGTGAGGAAAATGAAAATGAAATTTTAGATTCAATGCATTAGCTGCTCGGTTCCAAATTGTGATTCAGCCACGATATCGGTAGGGTTTTCAAGTAATCATTCAATTTTTGCCGATTTCAGGTCTCTCCACGGGGTAAACGTGTGGCTTTGACGTGTAATCGAGCTTTTGACAATGGGCGGCTTTACCTCATGAATACAGCCAATAATAACGAGTGTAAGTTGTACAGTAAAGGAATTTCGAGAAGTTAAGTGGAAAATTTTGATTTTAAAGTTTCTAGTGACATCCAGAAGTTGGAAAAATGATAGAAAAGAGTTTAGTTCATCAGCTCAGAGGCTTCGAGGCACCTCGTTTAGCTTTTGATGAGCCGATTATCACTTTCGAGAAAGTTATGTTGGCCTCAAAGATTGGTGAGTGTGAAAAATGGTATTGAAATGTGAAATTGATTTCAGAAGCTCACGTGGGAATCATGCGACCGCCAAAGTTCGATCCAACTGAAACGTATCCCGTTTTGTTGGATGTGTGAGTTGACGGGTAGAAATGATAGGATTCAAATTTTGTTTTCAGTTACGGTGGTCCAAATTCCTACATTAACAGCTTGGAGACACCGTGGGATTTCTTGGTATATCTTTGCTCAACAAGACAGGTGAGGGAAAAGAAATCGAATGGGATTTGATTGATTGACTTTTAAGATTCATTGGTTTCTGATTTGATCCTGGCTTTATTTTAAAGTTTACATTGATTGGCTTTATTTTAAAGTTTACATTGATAAAACTTTGATATAAGCTTAGAAAAGTATATTGTTTTGGGTCAAGTTTTAAAATTTACTGTATTGGTTTGAGAAGTTTTTCAAACATTGGTTCAAGGTCAAGTTTTGATAAAAATCGATTTCTAGATGATTGTTGTCTACATCGATGGCCGAGGTTCAAAACATCGTGGCTGGGATGTGAAGGGACCGATTCGGAATTCGTTTGGAGGACCTGAAGTCGATGATCAAATTGATGGGATGAGGTGAGTGGATTGGTTCAATTGCCTAAAACAAAACGATCTAATCAACTTGCCTAATCAATTTGCCTAATAAATTTGCTTAATCAATTTCCCAATTTCACTTGCACAATCTTCTTTTCAAGCAAAAATTCTCATTTTTTTTTCAGAAAAATCATTGACAAGTACCCGTGGATGAACAAAAAAGCGGTGGCTGTTTTGGGATGGGTTTGTTTAGGAAATGTTCCCTTAATTCACAAAATCTCAGTCTTACGGTGGTTTCCTCTCAACGCATATTGGGGTGAAAGACAATGGGAACGTTTTTCGGTGTTCTCTCGCCGTCGCTCCGGTCTCCGATTTTCTGCTATATGGTAAGTGGATGATAGGTTACAGTTTAACTATTTTAAGCTTAAAATTATCCAATCTGGATGTCACTGCATAAATCCCGGGGCACAATTCATTCCCACAACCATTTTAGATTCCGCTTACACCGAGCGTTATATGGGTCTACCGACGGAAAATCCCCAAGGATACAATGTACGTTTTTAAGCAGTTTATATCAAAGTGTGAGCTCCAGGATTAACTCTAAAATGAAAAACAAATTCATAGAGGAGATTTTTCAGAGCTCTCGCCTCACCGACAAGATCACCAAGATGAGAAATGTGCACTATCTATTGGCGCATGGAAGTGCAGATGGTATTTGAATAAAAGGAAAGGTTTAAATGTTTCAAAATCAATTTCCAGACAACGTCCACTATCACAATGCGGCTTTATTGGCGGGTGCTCTTCAGGAGAACAATATTCCATTCACTCAACTCGTTCGTTTCTAGAGATTTGTCTAGAGCTTAGAGTGTTGTCTAGAGCTTGCTTAGAGCTTTGTCTAGAGCTTAGAGTGTTGTCTAGAGCTTAGAGCTTTGTCTGCCAGGCCTAGCTAGACTAAAGGCTTTGCTTTGAACTTTGAAAAGTGATAAAACCTTAGTCTTCTAATTTTCCAGGTCTACACAAATCAGCTTTGTCATATCGATTAGAGCTTTGTCTGCCTGGCCTTGCTTTGAACTTGGAAAATTGATAAAAACCTTCATTTTCCAGGTCTACACAAATCAGGATCATTCAATGGTGAATGTCCGTCCACATCTCTACAAAGAAATCACAAATTTCCTCGATTCAAAATGTTTTTCCGATCAATTTTTATAGTTTCTTTTAATGAGCTTTTTGTTAATAATTGTTAATATTTTATTCGGAAAAGAAAAAACTGTGAAAATTCTCACTTCATTTCATTCCTTTTTTTTTATAAAAATTGATTTTTACAGAAAGAAATCGTCTGTGATCTTTTGAAATATTTAAAGAAAAAAAATTTCTAGTAAAATAAAATGTGCCATTTTTGAAAAAAAAAAAAAACTTTATTTGCTTGTGTGATTACTCGATTTCTATAAAGATTTGATAAATTGATAAAATTTGAATTTTTAAAACTTTCATTGTCAATATTTTATTTGAAAAAGAAAAATCTGTGAAAATATGTGAAAAAAAAAATATTCTTTCACTTTTACATAAATCAGGATAGATTATAGAAATAGAATATAGAAAAAGCTTTAATAGCTTTACTATTCAATTGGTTTAGAGATGAGTTTTTGCATAAATTTCAAATGTTTTCCCTTAATCTAAATTCTTTTTAAAGTATTTCTCAAGTTAAATTTCGAGAAGCACACTTTGAAAGCTTTCAGAAGAAAGCAGGAAGAAATAAACAAAGTTATTTTCCTTGAACGTGATGCCTTTTTGCGACAATTTATGCGACAAAATTCCCTTTGCTTCCAATGCCTCTTTATCAAATTCATTTCCCGTTAGAGCCGCTAGATTATGGAACTTGCTCCCAAACGACATACGAGAAATTCAGTCGCTTTTCATATTCAAGAAACGTATCGATGCTTTAGATCTAGTGGCTCTTTGCCGTAAGTATTGGGTTGATGCATAATTATCCGGACTTCTTTTTGCGTGCTTGTATCTTTTTTGTTTTGAAAGCTTTTTGTCTATTTCTTTTTTTTAAATATTCGTTATTCTTTAGTGAACAAAATGCGTGTCGACAATCATATCCATCTTCGCCATATCATGCTCTACCACTTCGAAAAGGGATGGTCTGCCGCAGAGTCGTTTCGCGATCTCAAAGAACTGGAGAAGCCCCAACGGACTACCACGTCAATCGATCGCTCAAAAATTGGCAAACAAATAAGATCTACAACGATTTGGATGACTTGATAGACGATGTTAAAGCGTGGATTGCCTCCAAAGATCGTTTATTCTTCGCTCGTGGAATCGATCGTCTTCCAAGCAAATGGCAATCAGTTATTGATGTAGGCGGTGAATATGCTCCAGAATAATCAATTAAACATATTTTTCTAACTATTTATGTTATTTTTTGTTAAATAAAATCATTTATAAAAGAAGTCCGGATAATTATGCATCAACCCAATAATTGGCTTATTGATTTCAGTATGTATTGTATGATTAAGTATCACTGTGCATTTCTCTATCATTTCTTTCACTTTATCGTTTGAATAAAGTATTATTATTAATTATAACGCCCTGTACAGGGTGCGGCAAAAGTTCGGAGCCGCTATGAAAACATTGCAGAAAATTTAGCTCACGCTTTTTTTTGTGTGTCTCGTATACTTTTTTCCCCTTTTTCGAGTATAATTAAGGTGATTTGTTACAAAAATTTTCTTTTTAGGAGAAAATTCGTAAGAATGAACGCCAAAAAACGACGCGATGTGATTCTCGGATTATACGAAGGCGGAAAAAATAGCCCGGAGCTTGTAAAAATCATGAAATATCCAAAAAGCACCGTCAACAAAGCAATTAAACGCTACAAGGAGATAAAGAACAACAAGGATCGCCCTCGAAGTGGTCGACCACCAACTGCCGTCACACCTACGAACATCAACGAAATTCGCTTGCGGATTCGCCAAAACAAGCTGCGGTCAATGCGAAAGATGGGCAAACAGCTGAAAATTAGCCCTCGAAGCGTTGGAAGGATTGTTAAAGGGAAACTAAGATTCTTTAGCTACAAATTGGCACACGTCTTGAGCGACAAATCCCAGAAGAAACGAAAGCGTCTAGCAAAGAAGATGGTGCGCTCGGTGGCGACTGGCCTACTTGAGAGGATCCTCTTCACAGATGAAAAGATTTTTTCTATCCAGTTTGAGTTTGAGTTTATTTTTGAGGATCCGAAGCAATGAAGTGCTTGAAATCATCATCTTCTTTGTCATTTGCCTTGTTCTTCCGAGTTCGGTCCCTCACTCGTTCCTCGTTTGTGGCTGAGACTCCTTGTTTGTGGCTGAGACTCCTTGTTTGTGCAATTCGATGATCGATTGTCAATGGGGTTTCTTCAGCTATTCTAAAAAAAATAACACATTTTATATAAAAATTTTTCAATTATATTCCAAATATAATAAAAAGACCAAAAGAAAAACTAGAAATGAAGCTTAAATCAAGGAGTTATTTTCCTTGGACGTGGTGCCTTGCTGCGACAATTATGACGCCCTGTATATAGCTAATTCTATAGATATGGCTGAATTTCAGGACGATGGCTCAGGACGGATGACGACTTTTCACGGTGGGACATATGATGTGATCAAGCTACACGGATATGATCAAGAAAAGGACACTTTGTAAGTGAAATCAATAGAATGAGTTCCAGATTGAAGAAATAACTCGAAAAGAAATCTAGATTTTACGAGTCATCTGGTGGTGGGATCGCTTTCAAGTGATTGTTCCGAGTTCGGAGTGCTAGCACGAGATTCGCTCAGGTAGGGAGGGGAAATTATTTAAAAAGAGCTAATTCTGGATGTCATGAGAAGAGATTTTCAAAGAATTCAGGGTGAGACATTTATTTGTGTATTAGTGTAAGTTTAGATTAAAGGCGGCAAATAAGAAATGGATACTCCTTTTAAAGAAGAAGAAAGAAGAGGTAAGTGACTTTTTGTATATTAGGCTGTCCAGAAAGCCATTTTTTTTTCCTTTTCGTACTTTCGTTTTAAACCAATAAATGCACGAATTAACCTATTGTAAATACTGTAATAGTACCCCACCCGGGTGGGGTACTATTACAGTATTTACGGTAGGTTTACGACTACGTGACTGTACGAGGGGGGTGCACCCCCCTCGTACAGTCACGTAGTCGTAAAAGTTTTTTAGTATTTCATTTTTTTCAAAGCGTCCGTACTTTCAAAAAATGCGTCTTTGATATCAAAAAATAGCTGAAATTCAGGGTTATTTTTGGTATCTAAGCGCGCATTGTAGCATAAACCAGTGTCGAGAAAAACTCGTTCAAAGCTAGACTACACGACACTCCGCACCATCATTATGGGGCTGGGGTACAATTACAGTATTTACGGTATGAGTTTCCACTAAATAAAAAGGTTTTTATTGTTATTGTAAAGCGTTTTCTATAAAATTCTAGTTTATTTTGTGGTCTAATCATTTTTCATTTTTTCTATACTTCACATTATCTTTTCTAAATTCGATACACTGAAAGTCAACTGATGATTGCCAAGCTAATGTCAGAATTCAATCTTGGCTTTGAGACAAAGCCAAACTATTAGGTTGTTGGGAAAATAATCGAAATAAATAAGACTCAAAATTTGTCTTTAATTTTAAAAATCCTTTTGCGTCATTGATACTAAACTTTTTAGCTAATTGTGATTGATATATGCTCTTCTCTTTTATGCTTTTTTTTTTTTAAACTTTACAATCAATCTTTATTTTGAATAAAAATTGAGTGTTTTAAGAGCATGGATAAGGAACAATTTCGGATACTTTTTTTTCTAGAAGTTCAAGCTTGGCCATACAGCAACAGAAGCGACTGGTAATATCAACAGGGCATTTGGCGAGAGAAGTCTTTCTTATGGTATGGTCGCCTTTTGGTTTCGACGATTTCACTCGGGCGATGTGACGTTTCATGACAAAGAACGTCAAGGCCTTCCAGAGTTGACGATGAAGAATTGGAAAAACTGGTGGCAGGAGATTCGACCAAAACATCTCGAGAATACGCACAGGACCTTCAGGTTGATCATTCAACAATTTTGCATCATTTGAAATCAATCGGGAAAGTAAAGAAGATGGAGCAATGGATCTCGCACGAATTAAGCGACTCGCAGAGGCCATGCCCTTTCACTTTAGATTCCTTATTGCCAGGCCTAAAAAGCTTACTTTGTCTTAAATTTTACTTTAAAAAACAATGCCGATACAACTGAACTCTCTGACGGTGAGCAACTCAAAATGCAACAACTTGAATTGTCACTTTCCGAGATGGGTTATCGAATCAATAGCTCAAGAAACTGTATGAACCGTTGCCTCAAAAGCTCCACTCAAATATGATACTTCAAATGCGCATCATCGTCACAAGAAGCTCTCAAAACAGGTCGAACGCCGTATCAGAAACAAAGCCTCAAACTCTACGGGTGGCAAACTTCGAGGCAAACGAAATCAAGCTTGATTTTCAAATTCCAGTGTCAAAGTGGACTGATTTTAGATGAAAACCCGGCCAATCGTGATCACTTACTCTACATCCCACTCAATTGTTTACTTCCGAAAAACTAACCCCATAAAATGTTTCATTTTTAGAAAACACTCGAGTTATTCAATTGGTGCGTAGATTTTCAATCGAATTTGATTTGATCGGTCAAGAATTTCCTCATGAGGGGGCCGATAATTGAAAGAGAAACAACGAAAGAACTAAGGAAATTGCCGAAATTGACGAGTCTGTTCAATGAGCAAATTTTTTATTTCCAACTGGAATTGCATTGGGTAATCGAGTCAATTGAGTCAATTTTTCTTCAACCCATTCGTGATCTTTTTTTTTTGGTCAGCTAAATTAATATTTTGATCCATTGTCAGCTCCGCGCCAAACTGATATTTTAGTTACTATTGTTATCATTGAATGCTTTGTCTAATCTTATGCAAATGTGTTCTCCTCTGTGCTTATCCCTTTTATTGTCGAGAAGGGGCGGTCCTTAGGATTGCCTAGGAGGACAAATGAGACTCTCATTAGGAGTCCCCCTCCCCCCTTACACTCATTTCTAATCTATTCCTCTTATGGTATTACTGTAAATAAAGATATGTATCTTCCGGGTCTATGCAACTGCAGTACAGGTCGGTCATTTCACAGGGACTCCCCTCTAATACGTTGGAGGAGTTGA